GCTCGTGTCAGAAGCCCATGATTTTTTGACAACAATAACGGTTTCTTAGTGTCTGAATGGCTCTTGTTAATTAATATCATGTAGGGCCGTTTTCGGAGGAATTGAACAACAAAGAAATGCGTTCGCCAAACACAATTGCTGTACCAGAGGTCAATTCAGCGCTTGAGTTTATACAAGTGCATCATTTTAGCGAATATGAGGTGAGTTTAGCGACGCTAAGACGGTAAGTAATTCACTGTGAATGCGCAAGTGTTATGAATAATGGATGAAAATTGTAAATTTAATGATCTCTCGAGGAGTAACACCACAGTGGACTTTGAGCGAAGCAGGTTTTCTCGCGGTAAGGTGGTTCGTCAAGGATCAAGTCTTTCCAGAGTCTCCGAGCGTCGATCTCGGTGTGCGTCTTCGTCTTGGCATCTCTAAGCTTCGGTTATTATGGAAGTAGATGTTTTTGCTGACTTAGCTGACACATTGATCCAACTACGGTTCGATTGCACTTTTGCAATAGAGGTATGCATGTCTGTAGCCTTGCTGTACCTGTGATGGTCTTATCGCTGAGCAACTACAAGGAGCGTTCTTAAGACGGTGTGTCCAAGCTGTGGTGCACAACTGGAGTTGGCTTATCCCGCCAGACAGTATTGTATATACCGGTGATGATGAGTGTTCTGCTACCTATTTATTCGTATCTTGCTGATCTCACTGACGTCGTGTTCTCGAGTTGTAACCATATTCTGCAGATGGTCTGTCAGAACGGAATCGTACAAAATGATCACAAGAGGAATTCCGGTGTGTACAGTCTGAGGACTGGTTAATACCAACGGAGGTTGCAATACAGAAGCATACTAAGCTGCATGACTTCTGATCGATGCTAATTCTCCCCTAAATAACGTGAATACATGCACGAGGTTCGTTATGTAGACAGTCACTTTGCGTACTGTAATCGTCGATTTGGACTCTGAGTTCTTTCAGCAGAAGGATCGGCTAGTTCTGGTGGATTTAGGATGAGAATCCCATCGATATGCATCGAACCATCGCGTACTCGATATACCGCTCATAGCAAAACCGAATGTCTGAAAAGCGCTAGCAATTTTTGCCGTTTTGGATTTGCTCATCAACCCTCCCGTTTCAGATTCGCATCTCCAACTTCGCGCGTCCTCGCGCAAGTGGTGAATTTAAGTTGGACTTTGACGCTCGCATGATAGGGTACGGCACTGATCTCGGCACGTCCTCTTTTTGTAGTGGTTTATTATCGTTTTCTGAAATATATTATCAATGCTGAATCTGATGCTGGTAATGTCCCTTGTCCTTTGTCATCTTGTCTTGGCTGATGTCGACGGGGCTATCAATCGCCTCCAAAACTCACTGCCGGGGAAGATCCAGACTGAAGGTATCCCGCCGCCATACAACCCTCGTTTTAATGCAGCTAATGGTTACAGTCCAGCTGCTATGGTTTACGTGTCATCAGCTGAGGATATCATCGCTGCCTTGGAGATCTGTCATGACGAAGATGCCCCCGTAGCCTTGAGGAGTGACAGCGGCCATTCTTTCATTGGTCAGTCTACAGTTGACGGCGGTATTGTCATCAATTTCATGAAGCTGAGAGACTGGCAAATCACTATGGAAGGGGACCGGTATATCGCCAAACTTGGCTCTGGCTTGAATCTACTAGAGATCTACTCTAGGCTAGCTCGACATCACCCACCCCTTGGGATCGCTGCTGGTTTGCGTCCATCTGTTGGTTTAGCTGGTTTGGCCTCGGGCGGTGGGTACGGCACCAGCTCGGCGAAATACGGTGCCACCGTTGATAGAATAGTCGCTGCTGAAGTGGTCGTCTATAATCGAGATGGAAAACGGTTCGAGTTGGTTACCGCTACCGGTTACAACGAGCATTCTGACCTCCTTTTTGCTGTACGCGGCGGTATGGGCGGCAACTACGGTGCACTAGTTTCCATCAGTTACGATGCGTTTCCTGTCGCGAACGTGGTTAGTATGGTTGCATTTGAGCCTCTGGTTGACCTTCCGGTACAAGCTCAAAGTATCAAAGCTTTTCAGGAGTTCATGCACTCCGATGCTGCCGGACCCCAAATTTACAGTATCTTGAGGCTTCTCGGTTCAAGCGGCGCTGAATATAATGTCCAGTGCATTTGCGACGCTGACTGTGTGACTTGCCACGCCAAATTGGATACAATGCAAGCTGCCGTCGGGATCATTGATCCTCTACGTATTGAACAAGACTTCGGGAAATCTATGTGGTTCTGGGCTGGGTGTACATCTGACTCGGTTTCCGATATCTACCCTTCTGATGGTATTGGTAGCTTCAGCGAGGAAGAGCTACAGGAGGCCATGACGTCTTGTCTGATAGCACATGCCGCTATTTTTTCAATCCCGTACAAGCCCAAGTGTATGTTCTTCCCCCGCACCATGTCCATAGGGTTGTTGGAGTCCGTCGTGGAAGCCCTGGCTCAACCTCCTTGTGATAGTCCCACCGACTGCGTGGTTCTGATACATTTTCAAGGCCAAGCCTTGTCGGAGGAGCCTAAGAATTGCGACTTGAGTCATGGCAAGTGCACTGCCTATGATCACCGGAGCCCTGGCTGGCTTTTTGAGATCGTCACGAGCTGGGGGAGAGATGAAACCGCCCCCTCTGCCAAGCTCGAGTGGATGCAGAACCTCTATGATGCGGTTTTCCCTGCCTCTCTCGGTACCTCCTATCAGAACTGCGTAGACTTGGACTTGGCTGAGGGTCGTAAGTGGATTGACCAGTTCTTCCCCAACGCGGACACCTACCGAAGACTCCAGCAAGTCAAGTGTCGCTATAATGCGGTTGATATGTTCAACTTCCCCGCGATCGATCTGATGACGATTGACATTGATGGCAGCATATGCGAAGCAGGAATTACCACTACGTCAACGACAACCAATGCATACAGTACTGCCACTAGAACTACAACTCCTGGATCCATCTCGACGAGCACGAGTACTACTTCTGAAAAGTCTAGAGACTGCCGAGAGGCCGATCGGAAGTGTTCCGAGGGTTACCCAGGCTCCTTTTGTATGACGTATAAGCTTCCGAACATCTGTCGAGGAAGTAACGTACCATGCAGCTGTACTCCCGGACATATTCCGTCATCTACAACAACTCGAAGTGTCGATGAACATGACTGTTCTGAGGAGGACCTCCGCTGCGCTACTCTCAAGCAAGGCTCCTATTGTATGTACTGGAAGAAACCTTCTCGTTGTAAGGGTACGAGTGAGTCATGCGACTGCTAGGGGGAATGCTTGGTTGAGACATTATTTGTAACTCAAGTTCGCATCGAACTGTTCCTCTTTTCTAAGGCTTGATAACTTTGCTTCTCGTCTCGTAGTACCTGGAGTCTCCTCAATCGAGCTCTCCGTGTTGAGTGTAGGGGTTCATGGTGTACGAGGAATCGCTACCCTATGTATTAGGCTCTTATGGGAGTTATGAACGCTCTTTGGTTAAGCGCACCATCCCCCAACTAGATAGAACTTGTGTGTTTATCCGGAGTTCTGATTACGAACTGACTTCGTCTCAGTTCAACGACCATCACTGATGATTTGAGTGTATGTGTTGTATGTCGAGTGCGCAAGGAAAACTTGCACACTAACATCATGAATTACGATACTTGACGTATGGGAGATCACCTCCTTCAATGATTGAATTTTCCTTCTTGGCTCATGAAGAACCATGAATTATGTGAAGAACATGAAAGCAGACATGACGTAATTTGAGTAACGGCGGAACAACAACATCGATGAGCTCCGAACCCACAGAAGCTGATTCCACAATCCACAGTGAGCTTTGTCATGGACAGAAGCATTGTCAGTGTAGGATTCACGCTATATTAGTCTGTTCCAGGAGCTGTGTAGTACTGTGATATTCTCGCACCGTTCCGGCTGGCATAGTAAACACAACAGTCACTCAATGTAGAGCAGACTGATTTTCAACCACTCTCTTGAATGGTGTCTTTCTACGAGACCGCGTCTGGCAGTTCAATAGCATCTGAAGGCAACGATCTGGTGACTTTGGTAGCTCGGCTACAACGCTGAGTTGTCCGCGTTGGACTTCAAACTCACACACACGCTACAGCGCCTCTTTGAGCTAGCCGCTACCAGCCTTCCCCGTAGGAGGGTTAAAAAAATAGATGGGAACAAACCGTCTCTAAAGCTTAGCTCCGGCTATTGTGTCATCACAGTAATCATCGTTCATACCCTTCCCCCTTGGTGTTCACAGTGATTCGGGCCAGACTGCGGATCACAAGGTCTTCCTTTATGGACAACATGCAGTAGAACGTTTCTCTTCTCGTAGATCATAACCACTCAACTGCGACTAACTCGACCCAACACAACAATCGAGAATCAACGGAAACGTTTTCACACATGAAAATGTCATCAGAGAGCCGCTTCCCGGGACCGTATATCTTCCGGAGACACCATCAGCCGTTCTTTCGCACCCTCCTCGTTCGCTCGTCGAATCAACTTCGCGAGACG